AAATCCTCAATAAAATTTTAGCCATCAGAATCCAACAATGTATCCATAAGATAATTCACCACGACCAAGTAGGATTCATTCCAGGGACACAAGGATGGTTTAACATCCGAAAATCAATCAACGTTATCCAACACATCAACAAAAAGAAATATAAAAACCATATGATAATATCAATAGATGCTGAGAAAGCTTTCGACAAAGTGCAACACCCATTCATGATAAAAGCCCTTGAAATTCTTGGGATACAAGGAACATACCTTAACATCATAAAGGCATCTATGACAAGCCAACAGCCAGTATCATTCTCAATGGTGAAAAGCTGAAAGCAATTCCATTAAGATCTGGAACAAGACAAGGATGTCCACTCTCACCACTGCTTTTCAATATAATACTGGAAGTCCTAGCCAGGGCAATAAGACAAGAGAAAGACATCCAAGGAATCCAAATAGGAAAAGAAGAAGTCAAACTATCACTATTTGCAGACGATATGATATTATACATAGAGAACCCCAAAACTCCACAGAAAAGCTAATTCAACTCATCAATCAGTTCAGTAAAGTGGCAGGATACAAAATCAACACGCAAAAGTCAGTAGCCTTCCTATACACAAACAATAAATCTGAAGAAGAAGAAATCAAAAAAACCATCCCTTTCGTTATTGAAACAAAAAAAATCAAATATTTGGGAATAAATCTAACAAAAGAGGTAAAGGACCTATACAAAGAAAACTATAAAACACTGTTAAAAGAAATAGAAGAAGACACAAAGAAATGGAGAGATATCCCTGCTCATGGATTGGAAGAATAAACATTATTAAAATGGCCATCCTTCCAAAAGCAATATACAGATTCAATGCTATTCCAATCAAAATTTCAATGTCATTCTTCAAAGAAATAGAACAATTATTGATGAAATTCATATGGAATCACAAAAAACCCCGAATAGCCAAAGCTCTCCTGAAAAAAAAAGAAGGGAATGGAGGCATCACACTCCCAGACTTCAAACTATACTACAAAGCCATAATCATCAAAACTGCATGGTATTGGAACAAGAACAGACATACAGACCAATGGAATCGAATAGAAAATCCAGAAATAAACCCACAGATTTATGGTCAACTAATCTTTGACAAAGGAGCAAAGACTATGCATTGGAGCAAAGAAAGTTTGTTCAATCAATGGTGCTGGGAAAACTGGGTCGCTACATGCAAAAGAATGAAGCTTGACCACTACCTCACACCATACACAAAAATCAACTCAAAATGGATTAAAGAATTAGACATAAGACCTGAAACCATAAAATATATAGAAGGAAATATAGGCGAAACACTACGTGATTTGCACATCAAAGACATCTTTACAGACACATCACCCAAAGCAGTGATAGTGAAGGTGAAGATAAACAGCTGGGACTACATCAAATTAAAGAGCTTCTGCACAGCAAAAGAGACAATAACAAAAACAAAGAGAAACCCCACCAACTGGGAGAACATTTTTGCACCCAACACTAATGATAAAGGACTGATCACAAAAATCTGCAAAGAGCTGATGAGACTCAACAACAACAAAGAAAATAATCCAGTCAAAAAATGGGCAGAAGAGCTAAAAAGAAACTTCTCTGAAGAGGAAATGCAAATGGCCAACAGGCATATGAAAAAATGTTCAACATCACTTGTCATCAGGGAAATGCAAATCAAAACTACCATGAGATACCATCTCACACCAGTGAGAATGGCACATATTAAAAAAACTAGCAACAACAAATGTTGGCGAGGGTGTGGAGAAAAAGGAACTCTTCTGCACTGTTGGTGGGAGTGCAAATTGGTCCAACCACTGTGGAAAGCTGTGTGGAGATTTCTGGACCTACTAAACATAGAGCTTCCATATGATCCAGCAATTCCACTCCTAGGTATTTACCCAAAGGACACAGAAACATCAATTCCAAAGAACACCTGCACCCCTATGTTTATAGCAGCACTGTTTACAATAGCTAAGCTTTGGAAACAACCCAAATGCCCAAAAATAGATGACTGGATCAAGAAGATGTGGTACATATATACCATGGAATATTACTCAGCATTCAAAAAAGATAAACACATGCAATTTGCAGCAACATGGATGGCGCTGGAAGGGATCATGCTCAGCGAAATAAGCCAAAAAGAAAAAGAAAAATACCGGATGGTCTCACTCATAGCAGGAATCTAGAAAACTTAAATAAGGGACCAGGAAAATGAATAACTATAAGAAAGTGAAAATCAAAATCAACAAAAACTATGAACCAGAGACACTTTTAGGGGGCAGGGGCGGGAGGGGAGGGATTGGGGTCAGAATGGGGGCGCTGCAATTGTATGGGGAATATAACAATAAAATTTATTATCTAATAAAAAAAAAAAAAAAAAAAAAAAAGAAAAAAAAAAGATACAGTTAGAGATTTAAATTGTACCCTCTGATGTCCTTTATAGTTATACTATCAGAAATAACTGAAAATATATTCTATGGCTGGAAACCATTTTCAGACCTGTGAACTTCCTTCTAATTATCTCAACTTCTTTTATAAAATGTGCAAGTAACAATTTCAATTAAAATATACAGACACAAGCAATATGTAGATAGTTTAAATCTAATTCTCACTGAGTTAATTTACATCTATATATTTTTATTACTTCAGTATGCTAAAACAACATTTAATTATATATATTGCGTACACAAAAGATTTGGTTTTTTTTTTAAGTTTTGACTTTTCAAAAGTAGGGCCATGAATAGAAATAACCACAAGAAACCACAACGTGTCAACAAAAAACACTTCAAGCCAAGTGAAAAAGTGAACCTTTTTATAGCAACTTTAGAAATATGCCATTGCACATTGTATTGGTCAGAAAATTAATATCTGTATTTAAGAACAGGAAAAAAGCTGTGAGACATCAGGTGATAGAAAGCAGCAGGAAAGAACCAAACCATTGGTACAGTATTTCTAGTGCGTCACTGCCTTGGGCAGATGGTCAGGTATAAAGTCTTGGGAGATGGTAAATCAGTGAAAAGAACAAATAATCAGGACAACAGGATATGTGTAAGTAATAATGACATCACTCTTCATATGAATTTATAATTTTAAGAGAGCTGGTAACATTTTCTGCAAAGTTTTATTAAAATGTATTTACATACCATACAATTCACCCACTTACCATGTACAATTCAATGACTTTTAATATAATTACTGAGATGTTCAGTCATCACTACCACAAAAAGAAACACCATACCTATTAGCAGTCTCTCTTCATAGCCTGCCCAATATCCCAACTCTCAGCAAACACTGATCTGCTTTCTCTCTCTACAGATTGCTTATTCCAGACATTTCATAATATAGGAGATCATATTATTTTTTGGTGACTGATTTCTTCCATTTAACAGTGGTTTCAAAGTTGATACACATAGCACTAATAGCTCAAACAAGTACATCATTTCTTATTATGACGTAAGATTTCATTGTAGGATATACCACATTTATTATCCACTCAATGGATGATAGACATTTGGGTTGTTTTCAATTTTTTTGGTTTAAATAATGCTGGTCCATTACAAGTTTTTGTGTACATGGATGTTTTCCTTTCTCTTGTGTATATATATATATAGTAGCATTGCTGGGTATTCTGCTTAACACTTTGAAGAACTGCCTGACTGTTTTCCAAAGCTGCTATGCCTTTGTCCAGTCCCACCAATAGTTTATGAGGGTTTAAGTTTCTTTATACATATACCAACAATTGTTTTTATCTGAGCTTTTTATTTTAAAGTGGAATCTCTGAGGTTTTTACTGCATTTCCTTGATAATGATTGTAAGCATCTTTCATGTGCTTATTGTCTATTTGTATATTATCCTTTGCAAAATCTCTATTCAGATCCTTTCCACATTTTTAAAAATGATTTGTCTTATGATTGTTGATTTGTAAGCATTCTTTATATATTCTGGATATGATCCTTTATCAAACACATGATTACAAATATTTCTTCCATCACTTTTTTAATAGTATAATTTGTAGCACAAAACTTAAATTTTGATGAAGTGCAGTTTATCTGGTTTTTCTTTTATCATATGTGCATATCTAAGAAGGTTTTGCCTATCCCAGGCTTATGAAGGCTTATTCCTGTATTCTTCTAAGAGTTTTATAATTGTAGCTCAATGTTTAGGTTATGACCTATTTTGAATTAGTTTTTGCATACAGTGAAAGGAAGGGGTATATTGGATATCCTATTGTCCCAGCAACTATTCACTGCCCATTGAATTGTTTTGGCACTTTGTCAAAAATAAATTGGCCATAAAGTGCACAGTTGTGCGGTGTAGGTCCAGAGAAAAGATTTCTATCACTACTTTTATAATGTTAACATGTCAATTATTTTTAATAAAATATTTATGTTCATTTCCATTGCAATTAAACATGTAGGTAAAGCGAATGAATAAATATTTGATGGGAAAAAAATGACAAAATATAAATTTATTATAGTATAGTGGAATAATATGCAGATTTCAATTTTTATGTTTATAATTTCTATTTTCCAACTAAACATAAATATGATTTGCTGTTATAGTCAGGAAGTATATTTTTTAAAGATTTAGTTATTATGCATACAAGAGCTGGAGTACAGGCCAGAGGTGTGGGGAGGTGAGAGGATTCACCAGAGTAGGGAGCAGATGAGGCCGATCTACTGAAATACACTGCTGAGGGGAGCAGCAGGTGAGAGAGGAGAGGTCTGCTGTGCCATGTGGATTGCCTCCCTGGCCAGGGATCGAACTCATGCTGCAGTGGCAGCAGGTAGCTTCATAGTGCTGAAACTTAACTTATTGTGCCACCAGGGAGGCCCAGAAAATATTTTATTTAGAGAGATAAAATCATGCAACCTGTTAGAAGGTAGGAAAATAAGGAAGATAACTAATTGAGTTTGAAACATTAACCTGGTAACTATTAGTCTTGACTTAATCTCTAAATATAGAAAATGTTTATTCTCTAGATGATTCTCTTATGTGGTCTGATAAGACCATGCTATCATATACACACTGGAGAGCAGGAAGACCAACTATAAAAAATGACAAATTTCTTGCCGGCCTGAGCACTGATGGCTTCTGGGACATTCAAACCTTTAATGTTATTGGAGAAACACTATACTTTCACCAGAAGAGCATTCTTGCTTGTAAAATTGAAATGGGTAAGTATGCTAATGTAGAATTTCCACTCCAGGGACAGATAATGAAAGGCCATTAGCTCCACTAGAGGAAATCTTGCAATCATATCCCATGAATGCCTCCTCTGTGTTTAGTTCTATGAAAGAAGTGCTAAAGAAGTTGTGGAGGAAGGAAAACCTGGTGCTGATTGGCAAGGGAAAAATAGCAGACAGAGATTGTTTTATGTAGGTTAGTCTTAGGTAGTCTTAAATTCTTTGGAAAATCAAAGAGATCAATAAAACAGGAATAATGAGGAAAATGCACTGTGGAAGAGGTAAAATTTGTTGGACCTTAAAGGATGGATAAGATTTTTACAAATAAGAAAATATGTTTGGGTAAAGTTTTAACTTTCAAAGCTAAAAATAGGTGTCTTGCAACCTTGCCTAATTCCTCAAATAATCTATTTTTAAATGCGCTTCTGTTCTTATATTTTCACAACTTGAAAGCTATTATTACAGCCTCTCCGCTCTAAGTCTTCTACTTGTGGGTCCTATTACAATTGCATTTTGGCTGATCTCCTCCCTTCACAGAGATGTAGAATAACTTCATGTGTCTTCATTTCCATCAGCAATCTCCAGTGATTCTTATTACCAATCACTTTGAGTCCATGTAAGCTTTTGGGATATTTTATAAATCAGTGTCTATTCTAAACTTCTACACCTTCCCCCAACCCCTGTTTTTCCCCCTGTTCCATGGCTCATCTAGCATCTTTTTGTCAGTTAGGTTATCTTTGTCTGCATAAAGTATATATTGGGTCTCATTTCTGCCCCCCCTTTTTTTTCCTGCTAAGTCCTCTGTCTTCCTTCCTTTTTTTTTTTTACATCTTTAATAAACTTCTCATTTTCAGCTTACAGAAAAATTGCAAGATAGTACAGCAAATTCTCATATATCCCATAACCAATTTCCACTATTGTTGACATCTTATATTAGTGTGATACATTTGTCACAGCTGAAAAACCAATACTGATAGATTATTAACTAAAATCCACACATTAGTCAGATTTCCTTATCTTTTATTTAGTGTCCTTTTTGTGTTCAGGATTTGGTCAAGAATACCAAGCTGGCTGTGATAGTTTCTCAGGCTGTTTTTGCTCTTGATGACCTTAGTCATATATTTTGTAGAATGTTCCTCAATTTGGTGTTTTCCCCACAATTAAGCGAGGTTTTGGGTTTGAGGTTTAGGGGAAAACCACAGAAGTAAATTGCTGTTCTCATCACATAATATGAAGGGTATGTCATATCAACATGACTTATCACTGTTAATTACTTTTTTAAGATTTATTTATTTATACATACAAGAACTGGGGTGTAGGCCAGAGATGTGGAGGGGGTTATGTGAGGGTATTCACAGGAGACAGAGTGGAGAGCAGAATAGGCAGATCTACTGAAATACACTGCTGAGGGGGGCAACAGGCGAGATAGGAGAGGTCTGCTGCGCCATGTGGGTCAGCTCCCTGGCCTGCCGGGGATCAAACTCATGCTATAGTAGTTGGCAATAGCTTGATAGCTCTGTGTCTTTAACCCCTGTGCCACCAGGGAGGCCCATCACTGTTAATTTGAGCTTTGATCATCTGGCTCAAAATAATGTTTCTCAGCTTTCTTCCCCGTAAAGTTGCTCTTTTTCCCTTCTATGTCATACTTTCTGTAAAGAAGTTACTATACTCAGTCCACATTTATAGGTAGAGAGTTATTCTATACCTTCCTGAGAGGATAGTATTTACAGAAATTATTTGGAATTCTGCACTGGAGATTTGTTTATTCCTGCCCATTTTATAACTACTCAGTCTTTTATGTAAGTCATGGGTTATAATCGATTATACTACATTATTTAATATTTTGCTCAAATTGTTTCAGCTTTGCTGATTGGAAGCTCTTTCACTTGCCGCCTGTGTCCCTTTGAAATACCCTCACTTTTGTGGTTTTGTTGCTGTTGTTTTGTTTTTAGAGCTTCCTTGTTTTCTGGTGACATTCTTTCTTTTTAGTCCTACTTGCACCTAAGGTAAACTCCAAAAATCCCATTTATCAAGCAAGCTTCCTGACTCCTTTAAATCAGATGAGTCGCTCCTTCTCTAGTGAGTCGCACTTGTTCTAGTGTTGGTTTTTCCCTTACTTCACATGTTTTCTGTCCCTGGACTATATGTGAGCTCTTTATTTTTATCATCAAATGTTATTTACTTGTGAGTTGGTTATGTACTCTATCATTTATGGGGTACATTTTCATACCTCCCTATGTGCACATGTTTTACTCACCCTCCTCCAAAACTCCTAGACCAGTGTCCTGTCACCTGCCCTCTCCTATCTCTTCCAACCTCCCTACTTCTCCCTCTGGCAACTGGTATACATTTCACAGAGTGTAAAGATTATCTTTGCTATGCTTTTCCAGTTTGTATGTGAGTTATTTAAATGAAAGATGATATTTGTACCATTTTTAAATCATCCAGACAACTATAATATTAAAGAGCTTACTATATACACTGTGGCAAATCAGGAAAGTATACATTTGACATCCCTGATTAATAATAAATCTAGCTTAACTTTTGAAATGATTACATATCCAGTCTTACCTGAAATGTCCATTTCAAATAATTCATAATTTAATCACTAATACTTTTGATTTAATTATTGTAGTTGAATACAAGGAAGAATATAATACTACCCTGCCACAGTTTATTCCATATGAAGATAATGTTTATAATGTTATTCAAAAAAAGGTTACTTGGTATGAAGCATTAAATATGTGTTCTCAAAATGGAAGTCATTTAGCAAGTGTTCATGACCAAAATGGCCTGCTATTTCTGGAAGATATTGTAAAACGTGATGGATTTCCACTATGGATTGGACTTTCAAGTCATGATGTAAGTCTTACTTTGTTTTACAGAAATTTTCAAATATGTTTCTTTAAGGTTTGGAAATTTGAGCATAAAATATTTATTCAAAGTGTAACATCAGATTAAGTCCTGGGGACTAATTTTGTATAACATACTGCTTTCTTATCATTCACAACATAAACTGAAAATTATAGAGTGCACTAGGGCAAATCACCTGGGATTACAGCAGCTGCCCAACACATTGACAGGCCTTCCCAAGGGCCCTGAAGATTAATATTTTAGTGACACCTCTGTAACATATTTAGGGCAGACCAATTGGGAAGGTGGTGAAGGGAATAGCACAGTTTTAGAAAACCCGAATTCCAGTGCTAGGGGCACATCTTCCATTTACATGTTGGATGATCATGAATAAATTATTTAACCTTTGCAAGCTTATTTCCTCATATGTAAAATCAGGATGATAAAATTTTCCTCAATATAGGGATGACAGTGAAGCTCAATACAAAAATTCAGATAGATATCAATTAAAATTCTTAACATTAAGACTAATAAAGGTTTATTTTCTTCCCATTTCCCCTTAGAAATAAGCACTATTTGAGATTAATCTTATACTGGTAAACACATCTTTTGTTCTCTCTTTGAACCCAATTAATTAGGATATTCATGTACCTGCAATAATAATGTCTAGTTTAAAAAAAAATAGACATCTATTGAAATTAGAATTGAAGATCTAGGAAGTACAATTTATGTATTCTTTAGAACAAAGTGGGGGAAAAAACAAAGAATGAAGCGATAATGAATTATCCTAGAATCAAGAAAAAGTCAAAAATAATCTTCCCATTCTAGTTTCTTGAGAAGCAATTTTCTCTTCCATCTCTTGCTATTTGGTTTCTCTATCATGACAAAAATATGGACAGAGAATCAAACCACAAAACTATAGAAAACAATATTCAGAAGAATATAGAAGCTGGGATTGTAAATCTATAATTGTGACAAATGAAAGTCATTTGCATGTCATTTAACTTCAAGTTTTATGTAAATTCATTCTTAAACAAATATATCTAGAGACAGTATAATAACTTTGTCACTGAGTTCAAAGTCCTACTTAAATTGTGCCAGAGCAAATGTCAAAAATCAATAAATTGAAAGTAAATCCCGGGCCTCCTTGGTGGCACAAGGGGCTAAGCATGGGGGCACTATGAAGCTATCTGCAGCCTCTGCAGCACCAGTTGGATCCCTGATCCCCACATAGCACAGCAGACCTCTCCTTTCTCTCCTGCTGCTCCCCTCAGCAGTGTATTTCAGTCAGTCTGCTGTTCTGTTCCCCACTCTGTCTCTGGTAAATCCTCTCACACACACATCCCCACACTTCTGGCCTGTACCCCAGTTCTTGTATGCATAAATAAATAAATCTTTAAAAAAAATAAATAAATCCCTAAAATTACAAATATAACACTTGTAAGCAAATTATTAGCATTCCATTCCAATATTTCTAAAAGTTTATATGTTCTTTGTGTTCTTTTTGAAGTCACACATCTGGATTCAGTTTATCTCTATTACTCCTAAAACAGGGCAATGAATCAAATTTTGAATGGTCTGATGGCAGTGTAATTGACTACAAACCATGGGAAGATAAAAAATCTGCTGGAAATTGTGTTGTCTTGGATCCCAAAGGAATTTGGAAACATGAAAACTGCAAGTCTGTTAAAGATGGTGCTATTTGTTACAAACCTACAAAATGTAAGACTTATTTTGAATAGCTCTATATTTACTAAAATACGACCATTTGTTGAATGCACATAATTAAATAATCAAAAGGATTTTTATAGATTAATCTTTTTCAGGAGAAGATTCAACATTTGGAACTAAACAAATTCATTCAGGAGAATATGTGAAAAACTTATCTAGGGAAACAAGTAAATACAAATAAGAGAATGATATAACTAATGAGGAATAAAGGCACAATCAAGAACTGATATTTCAATTGCTATGTATCTAAAATACATAGAATAGAAAAGTAGCTAGAATAAAGCATGCAGAAATGGAGGAACATTTGTCTTAGCAAAACATACTTTACAGAATGGCGGAGAATGACAACATGATCAAACATAAATTCAGTGCTGTCCTAGTTGAGTAGTGATACCACAAAATTCATATCCAACTAGAGCCTCAGAATGTGACCTTATTTAGAAATAGTCATTGCAGGGGCCTCCTGGTGGCACAAGGGGTTAAGCACAGCACTATAAGGCTGTTTGCAACCTCTGCAGCATGAGTTCGATCCCCACCGGGCCAGGGAGCTACCGACATGGTGCAGCAGACCTCTCCTGACTCAGCCACTGCTCCCATCAGTGGTGTATTTCAGTCAGTCTGCCTGTTCAGTTCCCCACTCTGTCTCTGGTGAATCCTCTCACCCCCACACCTCTGGCCTGTACCCCAGTTCTTGTATGCATAAATAAATAAATCTTAAAAAAAAAAAGAAATAGCCTTTCCAGATATAATTACTTAATATGCCAGAGAGCCTGAGACTTGATTAGGATGTGCTCTAGATCCAATTCTGTTGTACTTATAAGAGGAGAGACAGAGACATAGAGAGGAAGAAGCTTACTTGATAATAGCGGAAGAAATTACAGTAACATAACTAGAAACTAAGGATTGCCACCAGGCCCCCAAAGCTAGGAGAGAGGCATAAAACAGATTCTCCCTCATACCCTCCAGAAAGAACCAGTTGACATCTCTTCCAGACTAAGAGGGTGAATTTCTGTTGTTTTAAGTCACCAAGTTTATGGTAAAATATTATGGCAACCCTAGGAAATTAATGCAAGAGCTAACTTAAAACACACACACACTGGATCTTCAAAATGAAAAGAAAGTAACAAGTGTTGATAAGGATGTAGAGAAACTAGAATCCTTGTGCATTACTGTGGGCATATAAAATGGTGTGTAACCAATGTGGAAAACAGTATGGTGACGGCTCAAAAAAAAATTTGATATAGAATTACCGTAGGACCCAACAATTGTACTTCTGGGTATATATATAAAAGAAGTAAAACCAGGGGTCAAAAAGATATTTGCATACCTATATTCATAGCAGCATTATTTGCAATAGCCAAAAAGTGGAAACAATCCAAGTGCCCACTGACAGGTGAATGGATAAACAAAATATGAAATATACATATTATCGAATATTACTCAGCCTTATAAATGAAGGACATTCTAATATATAATTTATCATGGATGAACCCGGAGTACATTGGGCTGATTGAAGTCCCGTCACAAAAGGACAAATACTATGATTCCATTCATGTGAGGTAACTAGAATTTTCAGACTTATAGAAACAGAAAGTAGCATGGTGGTTGCTGGAGGAAGGGAGGAATGGGGAGTTACTGTTTAATGGATTCCAAGTTTCAGTTTCTCAAGAAAATATTCTGGAGGTAGATGGTGGTGATGTTTGCATAATAATGTGAACACACTCAATGTTACCAAAATGTACATTTAAAAATATTTAGCATGGTACATTGTGCATGTACTTTACCACAATAAAAAAAAAAAAAGTCTTCTTAAGCAAGAATATAATAAACTAACCAAAAAGCATGCCCTTGCAGAAAAGAGTAAGAATTGAAAGTAGAACTCCATGAAAAACCATGCGGGGGAAAAAAAGTAATGTATGCAGCCTAAGATACCACAGTTGCAGACTGGACCAGAAACAAATAGACTTTGAAAATAGGCATCTCCATGTGTTCCCTGTATAAGAAGAATTTTCTATCAAGCCAAATCATCCAGAAAAGTTCTAGCCATGTATCAGTAATCAATGTACAGCATATTTTGCATATAATGAAACAAAATACTTCATTGACTCTTAAAACGATGGAAAAATCAACTGTCATTTTTTGGCAAAAGCAACTATTCTCACAGGGTAGTAAAAGCAAGGACTTTATAGTAGCATCTCCCTCCACCAGTAGTGTTAGTAAAACGTTGTCACAAATCTTAGAGACGTCACAGATGTATTCAGCAAATGAATTTTTATCATCTGCTAGTAGGACACTTAGACAGGTATATCAACTGTCAAACTGAGGGAATACTTAGATCTCAAACTAGAGGTGTTAGTGAAAAGAATATAACCAAAAGCCAATCAAAGATTCCTGATGAAGAAGGAAATGAAGCCACATTCCCTTTGGAAACAAGAATAAGAATAACTCTATCAAAACCTATCAAACTGAGATTTGGAGAGAAGACAGGAAAAGCTTCAGTTCCTAAAGAACATGGAGATCAGAGAGAATGTATTATGAGACACTAGTTTGGGTTGAGATTACTGATATTTGATTCAGATATCTATACCTCACCAATAGGATGTTGACAATTTACTTTTCAATTCTCATACTCTCTTCCATTAGAATTAATAACAAGCATTAAGAGGCACAGATGTCACCATAGAGGTTTCATGTGTTATACAACATAATTAAAAATTAAACAATTTAAGGGCCTCCCCTGGTGACGCAGCGGTTGAGCGCTGGGTTGCGAAGCTGCCTGCAGCCTCTGCAGCGCCGGTTCGATCCCCGGCTGTCCCGCATGGCGCACAGACCTCTCCTGCCGCCTGCTGCTCCCCTCAGCATTGTACTTCGGTCCTTCTGCCTGCTCTGCTCCCCACTCTGGCTCTGGTGAATTCTCTCACCCTCCCGCGCTTCTGACTGTACCCAGTGCTTGTATAAATTAATTAATTAATTAATTAATTAATTAATTAGATCTTAAAAAAAATTAAACAATTTAAATAGAAACCAAGGGAATGTTTAAGAACTGAGAGGCTATACCAACTCTTTTTTGAGACAAATTTGCTGTTCTGATATATTGCAATTTTTCACTTATGGATGTGATTTCTCATTTTTTTAAATGTTTTCACATTCCATCTTTTTTTAGTTTTTCCTATATTTTGTTGAGGTAACATTGGCTTGCAACCAATGAATATGATTTAGAAGTGATTTTTAAAAGGAGTTCTTCATGTATCAAAGTTTATGTTATCAAAATAGAAAGGAATCCAAAGGAAAAAAAAGTTTTAATTATTTCAAAGTAGCCTGACTTTGCTTATTTTCCTGTTCATCCTAGTTGTTTTTACTTTAGTCTAAATACCCCTTTGAGAATTAAGTACTTTCTTCTATCCTCTAAGTTTTTTAATTGGTCTTCCAAATACCTAATTAGAAGGTATACAGTCAGAGCACAGGCTATTGCTTTCTCTGGTGTGTGTATTGAATTGATGCTCCTTACCCACAGTTATCATAGCTTCTAAGAGGAACATTTAATGAAATTTAAAAATCAGTCTTTTTCTTTGTATATCTTTACACTGATGCCTATTTGTTTTACAGCTAAAGAGGTGACCTCTCATTCATACTCCTCAAGATGTCCTGCAGCGAAAGATAAGGAGCCACAGTGGATCCAGTACAGGGACCACTGTTACACATATGACCAGGCTTTGCAAACTTTCTCAGAAGCCAAGCTGTTTTGTTCAAAACTTGGTGAGTTCAAATTTGTTATCTTTTGACTCAATAATTTAATCACTAGAATTTTTCTTAAGGAATAGTTTGAAATAATGATCATATTGTTGAAACTGTGTGAAGGTCTCACTACTATAGCTATTATTTTAAAGCTCTTACTATAATAACTTAATTGCCCAGTGATGTGATTATGGTTGAGTATGACATATGAGCACAATGGGAGGTGGGAATAGCCATTACAAATGATTGCTTTAAGATTAAATACATAGAAAATAAAATTAAGGGGAAAAATAGAATAAAAAAATTGCTAAAATTATGTGAAAAATTAGGTGGTTTTAAGTATAGCTAGATATGCTTAGAGGAAGCAATTAAGAGGCAGTTTTTTTGTAAAGTTAGTTAAATAGATTTACAATAGAAAATTCCACATTTTAAATTAGTTATAAATAAGTAAGCTTAGCCTGACCAGGGTAGCAAAATCAAAGAATTTGGGTTGTTCTTCCACTCTACAAAAGGTATGGCCTACATCCTCTAAACACCATAAGGAACCAGACTATGTCTTCAGATTTAACTATTTTAGAAAGAGCAGCAATGGCTGACTCTCTCCCATGATAAATTTAGCCTATAGTCAAACTGTGAAATGACTTCTAGAGACAATGTAGGGTAGTTCAAAGACCTGCATACTCAGGTAACAATTTTACCGGACAGAGCATTTTTCTCATTTCTTTTGCTATTTGTGCAGATATTTTACTGATTTAAAAAGCCCAAAGCCTCTCTATTACTGCTTACCTCCATTGATGACAACTGTGTGTGTGTGTTTGTGTATGTATGTTTATAGTAGTATATATGTATATGAAATGGGAACTACTGCTAGTTTATATATATATATATATATATATATATGCTCTGAAAGTTATATATAGTTAGAGATAGATAGATAGATAGATAGATAGATAGATAGATAGATAGATAGATAGATAGATAATAGGTGGGTAGGTAAGTATGTAGGGAGGTAGATAAATCTGAAAGTTACAAGATTCTTACTCCTAAATGAGAAAACAAAGTTTTACACCAATTATAGTATGGAGATTAAGCACTTAACTCTTGGAGGCAGACAGATTTGGGGTCGAATAACAGGTTCCACACCTATTAACTGAGTGATACTGTGAAAGTAATATAAATGTTTCTGTTTTCTCATCTGAGCAGTGAAAATGAAAGTAGTACTTCCTGTGAGGTTATTATTGGAATGAATGAAATAAGATAAAGTATGCAAATATAGCACATTACCCTGCAAATGGTAAACTTTCAAAACTATTCTTTTAAAAAGATTGACACTGACTTTTCTAATTCTATAACTGGCTTACTGTTTAATATGATCAATTTATTTAATCTCCTTGATTAAGTAAAACTTCAGTTTCCTCACCTGTAAAATGGTGATACCAACCTCTACAAAATGATATAATATTAAACAAGGTAATATACAAAGTCCCTGCACACTGTGGTATTCTATAAAAGAATAAAGATTTTCCTTTGCCCTTCTTGAAATACCCCATATCAACAAAGAAAGACTTTAGTTAAGTCTCCACAAACTTGTTATTGAAGACTGTTTGATTCCATTTAGGATTAATTTCCAAGTATATTATTATTTTATTTCAACTCCTTACCTGATGCTGGTAATAACATGGTTTTTTTCCTGTGAGTTTAGGACTGCCAATCAAGTTTCAGGAATACTCATTCATTCAATTCCATACTATATTTAGGAATTTGCAATGGGCAGAGCAGTGTGCATTTATGTATAAAGTAATATTAAAAGAAAGGCTGATGCTCCCCATAGACCAAGCTTACTTACTTTCATTTTTATTTTGACGTAATTCAAAGCTGAGTTATTGTACAAAATTTGTTGAGGAGAGTCCTGAAAATCTATAAGGGAACACATATTTCTGCCATTGTATACCCTACTTCTTTTTTTTTTTTTTTGTGAAGATTTGTTTATTCATGCATACAAGAGCCCGGGCTACAGGCCATGGGTGTGTGTGTGTGTGTGTGTGTGTGTGTGTGTGTGTGAGTGACAGGATTCACCAGAGACAGAGTGGGAAACAGAACAGGTAGATTGACTGAAATGCACTGCTGAGGGGAGCAGTGGGTGAGTCAGGAAAGGTCTGCTGCGCCATTTGGGTAGCTCCCTGGCTGGGGATCGAACTCGTACTGCAGTGGCTGCAGATAGCTTCATGGGTTGCGTCTTAACCCAGGGAGGCCCATACCCTACTTCTTATGACTAGATGGTTAGACAGTTTTAGGACCAAAAAATATTACCAGACAAATATTTTGAAGAAATTTAACATACATACACACATTCAAAGCTTCAATCTAGAAATATTTCTCACTTTTGTGGAAAATTATTGATGCCATGCTTTTTAAAATCTAGCATAAATATCAGACAAAAAATATTCTCTGTATAAAGCTTAATTTTTCTCAATGTTCTTGATAGATTTTTTTTTCCAATGGCTCGTTGAAAACAAACTACTTTCCTAGTTTCCCTAAAGCCAATTTAGTTAGGGGTTTGTTTTCCTTCAACAGATCATTCTGCAACTGTTGTTACTATAAAGGATGAAGATGAAAATAAATTCTTGAGCAGACTGATGAGGGAAAATTATAATATTACCACGAGAGTTTGGCTTGGATTATCACAACATGATATTGGTAAGTGATATAATTGTATGTATAATGTGCAGAGAGAATTGTACCTTGTCCTAAATGCCAAATGACCTTGCTAAAGAATCTCAAGTAGTGGCTAATTCAAAGACTTCTCATTAAGCTAGATTTGCTGATTGTTTGGGAGGCTTAAAAATTCTGAATGAATAAGTTGAGTGGCTTATTAGCAATGAAGGAGACCACTAATTAAATAGAAATTCAGGTTAATTGAACAGGAATTGTTCTAGAAGCTTATTCTTAATATATTTAGATCAACAGGATTTTTTCCCTATAGCAGTAGGAAAAAACATGCTGTGTCTTTATGACTGTTATTTAAAAATTCTCTCCTTGTTGTTCCCTATCTTTTGGAACATTTTTTCCCATAGAGAAAACATTAAATTTTAATAATAGATTTTTTCAGAAAGCTTGGGAAAACTACAGCAAATTGGTTTTAAAGGGCTATGGAAGAATTTTTCAATAAGGAAACATGGAATATTTAAATGAATTAGGAATTGATAAAGAATGAATCAAGAGCACAAATTTGGTAGAAAAATAGAAACTCTGTTTCACATTTTATGCAAAGTTGAATTCTAAACAATTAAAGTAGGTGCAATTCCACAATGTTAAGTACTTTGTCAAAAAGTGAATGGGTTCAAAGCTGGCCATTTAAATGAAATGTAAATTGTGTTTATATTATCGCCACACGGTGGTGCTACCTCAGCTGCTAGACAACAAAAATGGAATCCTGCTGAGGAGACTCTTTGGCCCTTTCCTTTCCCACCAGTACATCTTTAGTGACATGACTTTTTAATGTGTGTGTTGGGAGGGCCGGGGGCGGCCAGGAGGGGTTAGTAAGGGGATACTGGTCTTTAGAAATCTATTCCTCATGCAGTAAATGTGTAAGCAAAACACCACATTCTATATCAGTTCTTGTCCAAATGAACGTTCTACAAAGATGAAAACATTCTGTATCTGTGCATCCAATATTGTAATCACCAACCACATGCTAGCCACATGGTTATTGAGTACTTGAAATATGTCAAGTGTAGCAAAAAACTGACTTTTTAAGTTTTTTGATTTTTAATAAATGTCAAAAAGACAGATTTTGAATGTTCTCAGTCGTCTACAGAATACAAATATCAAGAAAAAAATTTTCACACAAACAATAGAAGAAATAAAATTTTGAACTTAGCAAAAAAAAAAATATATAAGGGTTACCAGAGGGTATAAAGGAAAGACAGGTGGGGGAGGGGGGAGGGATGCAGATGGGGGACTGGCACATGTGGTTTGGTAGAGGGAACAAAAGTAAAAACTAAATAAATAAATGTCTAGTTCTGAGTAAATGAGTTGGATAAGTCACATGCCTTCTTACCTTAGTCATCCTGTGGCAGTAAACATACTTGTACTTAACATTCTTAATTTCTCTCTTTAGATCATTCTTGGAGTTGGTTAGATGGATCATATGTATCATTTGTCAAATGGGCAGATAAAAGAAAGAGTGGTAGTGGAAATTGTGGCATTTTGCTGGCTTCAAATGAAACTTGGAAAAAAGTTAATTGTCATTCTGGCTATGGAAGGGTTGTCTGCAAGGTCCCTCTGAGTAAGTATGTAGCCTGAACTTAAGAAACATATTTGTACAATTCAGGAAATAAATGCACGGTCTAATTATGCTTAAAGTCTTATATTTGGTCCTGAATTTTTTAGTACTTAAGGTATATACCAAATTCTTTGATTGTCATACATTCTTTCTCTTGAAAAAATAGATTACAGGAGATAATAAATGTATAAGGTTTCTAGGAGTCCCTGATAAAGCTATTAAACTGTCTAAACTTATTGTAATGCTTTTCTAAGAAGAATGGAAGCTGCCAGAGTATTAGGGAGATAATGTTTTGAAAATATTAAGTGTATTTTGTTCTAAAATTTCAATATATAAAAGCTCACAATTCTTATTCTATAGTTTTTGCTTCCTTTCTCCTCATTCTCATAAAATTCATAACTAACTTAAAAACAGTGCAAAACTAAATTTAATTAAAGTGACCTGATTATCTGTGGGAAATCATAATCTGAACTTATCTTATTGATATCTATATAAAGTAATACACTGATACATGAACAACACCAAAATCCTGATAACTCCATTTTTAGAAAAAGCTCTCTAAATTTTTTACAGCAATATTTTTAAATAGCTAGTGTAAAAATGCCCATTTGGGTATATAAATATTAAAGATAAGACTCAAATTCTAGATGATATATCTCTAAATATTCGTGCATTGATTGAGTAAATATTTAGTGTCTACTACATAGTATGCCCTGTTCTATGTGCTGGGGCGCCCAGTGAACAAGACTGATAAGACCTTGCAGTCGAGTAGAGGAAGACTCATAATAAATAACCAAGAAGGTCAATCTTTAAAAGAGAGGAAAAGATCAAATAATTACAAACTCATTATAGTCAATGCTTGGATTTCGTTTAGTCTAGATAGGATTTTCAGGAAAGATGTCTAAGAGCAGGAGACTTTGAAGTTGCAATCTGAAAGGCCAACTAAGCAGAAATCAGGGAAAGAAGCACACAAAGCAGAGGCAACAGTTGGAGAAAATCCTGAGGCAGAATGATGGTGAGCACTCAAGGGACCACTGGATGGTAAGCAGGTGACAGGCACCTGTAGCTCTGAAAGCAAGCTTCAGAAGTTCAAGTTCTATTCTGAATGAAGTGGAAAGTGCCTGGAAGATTGTTACAGGTGGGTGGGAGCAGTTTTGGGGTGATATAAAGCAAGAGTTCTGCTTGGGCATTTTGAGCTATCTATTGGGTTTTTGGAAAAACCATGCCATATTTTTGCATAGAAAAAATGTCATAACTTCTCCAATAACCCAATATATGGACATGGAATGTGTCGTATACATCTGGACACATGAAAGAAAAGGGAGGTCAGCTTCAAGATGGCATTTAGGCCTTGGGACAGAATGAGCCCCCTCAGCGGCGTGTGCAGAAGGGATCTAGGACATCAGATGAAATTGAATCCTCATTTGTAAGATCATCCTAAGACTTAATTATATTGAAGTGCATAACACTGTATTTGACTGTAGGTAGGTCAAAAGCAAAAATTTACAACTTGTAGCTCTTTACTATCAAAATAAAGTAATATACTGCAAGTGATATTCTCAAAAGGGTGATGGAAAGGAAAAGTGAGAATACTGTGAATGCTTTAATTTCTTTGGAAGAAAATTGCCTTGACAATGAAGAGGATTTGAATGAAAAGGAAACAGTAAACTGAATTCTGTGTTAATGTGAAACAATCTGGTATTTATTGCATCTAATTTGTATGGGGTCTATATATGGGATTTATGGCTTAATGCATAAATCAATAATGATCATTAATATATTCTCTCCTCCCATGTCAAACCTTTCCTGATTCTAGGCTCTGGTTACGGAGGAATAGCTATCACAATTGCTGTGCTCAGTATCTTAGCTCTCTTCGGTGGACTGATTTGGTTCCTTGTCCAAAGGAATCGTTTGCACTGGACAGTCTTCTCTTCAGTTCGATATGAACAAGGAGTAAATGAAGATGAGATTATGCTTCCCAATTTGAATGACTAAATTCTCCTAAAAGTCTGCTAAGTTGCACTAATATGTTAGGAAAAATGAGCCATTTCAAATTTGCCCAGTGTCAGTATTTACTCTGATCCAACATAGAAATCTTAGGTACTTTTTCAGTTGTTTAGTTGCTATGATGGTATCCACAATTGATTGCCCACAAAATGCCATGTTTATAACTCTACTTAATAGAGTGGAGAGGAACTGAAAGTAGAATTGAACTCCCAATTTTTTATAGGATGATACATTTAATGTGCATTTTTTTCCTATAAGAATGTGCCTGATATTTAGGACAGGTATGTTTTAGTGACTTTTTAACACAACTTCTTAGAAAATTTAAATTGGCATATTGGCGGTAACTCAAGGTAAAAACACATGTAAACAATAGTAACATTGTTTTAAAATAGACATTTATACCACTAGGGGAAATTATTAAATAATAAAACATGCTTATTTATTACACAGCAAAATGATGCCTCTTAGCAAGCTGCTTCTTATACTGTTTCAAAGATATTTCATACCAATATTACTTAAATACAAATGTTTTCTTCTGTTATAATTAATCATAAACCAACGGTTTTTAAAGATTTCATGTTTAACATTTTCTGAAATGTGAGAACATTGGTTTTAAATTGATTAGAGATTGTATAGCAGTGTTTTTGTCCTCTCATATGTGCAAATACGATTGCTTTCATTTTAAAGGGAATTAATTGAGGATAAGAGTATTTTTGAAAATTTTGCAATTTATGTATTTTACATAACACGTCAATTTTTGACTAAGAAATGTTCATTCCTTTGTTGTCTATTTATATGAGCTAAAGAGAACAGGTCTCTGTCGGAAAAATTATACCTCTTGCATTTATAAAAATGAAACTTTTACAATGAAACTGTAAACCTTGTGAATACTACCAAAATATGTAATATTATAAATGATTAAGGAAACACTGTTTTGTGATGACCAGTTCAAAATTTACCACCTGAAATATAATCTTAATAATAGCTTCCACTGGACATGGTGAATGTTTTATTCAGTGTTTAACTTATATTTATATTTTAGAATTTTTAAATAAAACCCATGGATTTATTTTGTAAAGTTTAGAGTGTTTATATATGATGAAGTTGTAAATAATTTTTCTAAAGGTATAGTACAGTTATCCTAAAATGCTTTTTATTGAATTTGTTAGGTTAATTTTCTTACCTTATGATCTGTACATTTTGAGTTGTTAAGACTTTGATGCAAAAAATACACCTATATATAGTACTGGCACCATAATAAAGTTTTATTTTGTTTTTTAAGCAAAGTATTATTGATCCTTGTTGAAAAAAAATTCTAGATTGGACTTTATATAATAAAAATATCTAGCAATATTGTAAAGTGATTCATGCTTAAGTGTTTGTGTACATTTTTTAAAACATAAATACAACATTCCTACATCTTTGGAAGCTTGATTTCAGTCTATTTTCAGATTCTCCTGACTCAGCATGTTTTTTAACTACTAGATTAACAGTCCAACTATAGTCCACTTACTTCTAATTCCTTGTGTGCCTCTCAGGAGCATGGCACTCCCCAACTTCTAAGTCAGTCATTCAAATATCAAGTTCCAAACTCATATTTCCAACTCCCACTGCACAATCTATATGAAAGTCCTTCTCAACAGGACCAGAACTTCCCATACTTTTCCCCATCCCTTTCTCTGCCTGTTCCAGAAGCCACAAAAGAACTGATGACGGCCCCTTCTAGTCTTCTCTTACTAACCCAACCTTAACATGTGGAAAAAGTGATGTCTCAAAACTGGGTAACTAAAAAAATAAGCAAATAGACCTAGTGTTCAGGTGTAGGGGGTAGAGGACAAATACAGAAGTGATACCAATGATCACCCTTTTTTTCTCCCCCTTATACCCACAAACAGCAAGTTCTCCATCACCCTATAGCAAGATATATTCATTATCTGGGAATTTTCCCCTGCAAATGGCTGCTATAGTGTTGTAAACCCCACTTCTGACACCCCTTACACCCCTCCTTTTGCCCCCTCCTCCCACTGCCAAGTTTATGAGGAAATCAGAGATTCAGATTGTTTTACGTTCTTTTAACCTTAAATACCTCTTGGAGAGGTTTATTTGTCATCTGTATATCTTCTATGGTGAAGTGTCTGTTCAGATCCTTTGCGCATTTTAAAACTGAGTTGTGTGTTTTTATTGTTTAGTTTTCAGACTTGATTTGAAAGCACTCTGACTAATGAGATGAACCTCTGTCAGGACCTAAACAGCCTTGCTTGATCCTGGTCTGTGCACTCTGCTGTCTGATTCCAGAGGCCCTCAAAAGTCATGTTACAGTTGCATAGTTTATACACATATTATGGCAAGTACAGAGTTAAATAACAGAAGTGTACTGTCTCTGGAGGCTAGCGATCAAGGGGTCAGTAGGGCTCCTTCCAAGGCCTGTGCAAGCACAGTTTATGGGAACTGGTGACAGAAGAGTTGCCTGAGGAGCACAGTACACCGGGAGGATCTTTTGAAAAGGTTTCTGGCTAATCCAAAGAAGAGACCTGGCAGACACAACCTTAATCCAGGAATCGAAGTTACCACCAGTGATGTGATACGTTGACATTGTGTCTCTTCTGGTCAGGACACATCACTTCTGTAGTACTCTTAGTGAAAAAAACCACCATAAGCCCAATACTGTTCTTCCAATGCCCCGTAGGAGGTAACATCAGCAGGAAACTGAAGAACATTCTACAAAACGAGTGGCCAGTATCGTGTCAAGATGAGAAAGCCCATGAGCAGGAGCTGCCCCACATTAAAGGAGGCGAAGGAGACATGACATCTCAAAGCTACTTATGATCCTGGATTGGCTCCTAGGACAAGAAAAGAAAATCACAGGGACAAGAGCATCCCGGTGACAGATGGCTGCAGATCAGTTAATAGTATTCTACTGATGTTAACTTCCTGGCTTCGATCGTTATACTGGAGTTGGACACGGTGTTCACACTTAGAGAAAATTGCTAAAGGGT